CATGGCACATACCGCGCCTGCGCGATTCTCCAGCTGCTTGCGGAGACTCGCACAGGTGCTGTATGTGCCATCCAGCTGCTCGCAGAGAATCGCGCAGGCGCGGTATGTGCCATGTGCCTGCGTGGAAGCGCAGAAGCGCAGAAGCCTTCAAAGACCGGTAAGGAGCACGGGCGGGCGGGTCCTTCGGCGTTCCCGGAAGTTACTTACTTCCGGGTTCGCCGACCAACCAGTTCGCGGGGACCGCCGTGAACCGGTTGAAACCCACCCCTGCTTCAAGTCCATAGATACTAGGATCAGAAATAATGGGTAAACTTGTTCCTACCTAGCTTTTTCTTAAATATTTTTACTGTTTTCTTTTACAACTTGTTGGCAACAACAAAGAAGAAGAAATTAAGTGACTAATACATCTAAGTGACTAAGCATCTTTGCACAAGTATAAATCCAGAAGAATTTCCATCTGAGATCATCCGAATTAACTTTCCTCTTTCAAAACATACGATTTCATTGGGTTGTGAAATCCAGAAACACTGGTTTCTGTGTTCCTTTCCTAGGTGTGGTAGTAGTTGATAAAGAAGGACAACTCCATCAATCATCTTCCCGAGGTGGGTTGGGCTGAGCTAGAGTGATTGGCCCCAAATCATCCAGCCAGCTTTCATGCCTAAAGTGGGATTAGAACTCACCATCTCCTGGTTTTTAATTTGGTGCCTTAGACCAAACTGACTAAACTTGCAAGGAAAGAAGGGATGGGGAATGTAAAATTTCTCAGATTCACCTGCAAGCTGGCATGCGGGAGAGGACTTGTCAAGGCATAGGACATAGGAGGCCACAGCTGTGGGGCAGGGCGCAGAAGCCAGACAATCCAAAACCAGGGATAGAAACCAGGAAGGTACCGGAAGCAGCTGAAGTGAAAAAAGAAAATGCACACCTGGACCATAGATGGTGGCAGAAGGACCTCCCCGTGACTCAAGTGCTGGATAAATGTGCAAGAAGATATTAAGGAGCCACATTGTTAGTATCAATAAAGCCTGTATAGAAATATATGTGGGAGGAAGAAGCAAATAGGGAAGCGTTTGTGCATTGCAGATAATTATTTATTTAGCGACTGCCTCGTTTAGCAACTGTTGGGAATTGTGTTAGTGATGAAAAAGTAACAAGTCCTCGCATTTATGACCTTTGCAAGCCTGTAAAGTAAAGCAAAATTGAAGGAAGATCATGAGTACAGTTGCAGTTTTCCTTAGCAACAGCTTTGCTTAAAAACCAAGTTCCTGGTGTTAATTATGCTCATTAAACATGGATTATCTGTATAAGGAAAGTAGTAAAAATGTAAATAATTTAGTTAAGCTCTAAGTATTAGATTAAATTATTTACTTATTTACTTTGGTCAATATATACACATATGTATACAAAGTCTAGGGACACGGTGGCTCAGCGGCTAAAATGCTGAGCTTGTCGATCAGAAAGGGAGTGGCTTGCCGCCCATGTGACCGGATGGGAGTGGCTTGCCGCCCATGTGACCGGATGNCGTTCCAGAGGGTCGGAGCAGCCACAGAGAAGGCTCTCCTCCGGGTAGTCGCCAGCCGGCATTGGCCGGCGGATGGAATTCGGAGGAGGCCTAATTGGGACAAACAGTTTAAAAGTCACTGGTCTAGAGCAAGTCTTTTTAAACCGCTGTTAGCCCAAGGGAAATTTGCAAATGGGTAGGAGGGAATAACTGCTAATTTTATTTTTATGGTACTTGTAAACTTGTACTTGTAAACGATCATGTCTGGTAGTAGATGATAGGCCTATTTCTTTCTCTTCCTCACTCAGCTCATTTCATTTATTGCATTTTCATGCATTCCCTTTCTAAAGAGCTTAAGGTAGGCTACTAAACCCCACTCCTTTTATCCTGCTATCTTCATAATAGGTTTTACACATCACGATGAATCACAATATGATTTAGCCTGTTAGCTCTTGCCTGGAAGTAGTGAAATAGTAGTTCCGGACCTGCTGTTAAATCCCTGGGAATTTGAAGTAGATAAGCAATATTTTGAAGCTTCATTTTTTGAAAGAAAAAGAAAAATCTGTATTATTTTACCACCACCACCGCCGCCACCATTCATATATAAATTATTCTGTTGAAATGGGGAAAACGTCTTTAAATTGAACTATGCACTGGGAATCAAGACAAATTCCTTGCATAGTGTTCTTTAATTATATTTCCTTTTTACTAGATTCAGTTTAATGCAGTGTTTCTCATCCTTGGCAACTTGAAGATGTCCAGACTTCAACTCCCAGAATTCCCCAGCCAGGATTCGCATTCGCTGGCTGGGGAATTCTGGGAGTTGAAGTCCAGACATCTTCAAGTTGCCAAGGTTGAGAAACACTGGTTTAATGGATCTTGAGAGCAGTGAAAAAAATCTCTCCGGGTGGACATAGACCAGGCATACTATAAATGAGAAAGAAAGTGAAATATCACTACTTATTTCATTTTCATAAACGGAGGCAAAGGGATATCCCCTAGGTGTGGTTATTGTCATGTGTATGCTTTGATGAAGGCGCTGATGGTATGCTTCCTCTGTTCCCAGGATCAGGCTGGATGAGTGTAGCCCAAGGGGATTGGAGCTGCGACATGGTGCAGCCAAGTGGGTGCCCAGATGGTGACTATGGCATGATGGGAGATGATTCCTCCCTGGAGAAAGCTGGCACCCTTCAGTTGCCAGCTGAGCTCGAAGGAAATGAAGCTGTACAATATTTCCTGGCTGAGAACAGAGACCTCAAAGGTGAGGACATGTTGGAGTGACCTCCACTATCATGTTTAAATATCAAGGTTGATAAATTCAATGTTCTCTTATTGTCCTGTCATTCCGTTTATATTCAGTCCTTGTCTCCTATATTAGACATTTCCATAAATGAATCGGACAATATTTTAAGTATCAGGGAAGGTAGATAACTAGAATGGTTTAGAATCTCTGGCCTTCCTTTACGGATTATAATTCTCTGCAGCTCCAGCCATCATGATTAATCATGAGGAATCCGGTGGGGGTATAATTTTGTAACTTCTAGAAGTTTGAGATATCCAACCAATGATTAGATTGATTTTTCTGTTTTTATTTTGCCAATAGCAATAGCAGTTAGACTTATATACCGCTTCATAGGGCTTTCAGCCCTCTCTAAGCGGTTTACAGAGTCAGCATATCNACCCAGCTAGGGAACATCATCAGTGTTAGAAGGAGGAGGCTTTGGGGAAAGGAGGAGACACATACAAATTTGAGAGAGGGGGGGGGGACTGCGGATAGAGTGCTGTCCTCCTCCCACACACCAAGCTGTAATCCCACAGCCAGGGATCCCTGCTCACTCCTATATTTAGATCCTCCCAAAAGAGAGTTTGCTCTCCCGGCCTATAACCAGATAAGCATGGATTGATACCAGACAAACAATTAAGCAGAAAACGATACCCTAATGAAAAAAAACAACAGAAAGAGAGGAAAAAAACATATCCCAACAAAAGGCAAGCTACTGTATATAAACAGAGAGTAAAACTTCCCTCCTTTCTAGCACTGATGGTGTTCCCTAGTTGGAAAATGGAACATCTGCAAGAAAACCACGAAGCTCAGAGAGCACCAAGGACCCCCACAGTCCTTTTCCTCCTCCTCCTCCTCCTTCCTCCTCCTCCCTTCTAGCACTGATAACGTTCCCTAGTTGGGTCATGAAACATCTGCAAGAAAACCATTAAGCTCAGAGAGCATCAAGGACCCCACTGTCCTCCTCCTCCTCCTCCTTTCCCCAAAGCCTCCTCCTTCTAACACTGATGATGTTCCCTAGCTGGGTCATGAAACGTCTGCAAGAAAACCACTAAGCTCCATAGTTCTCTCCTTCTCCTTCTCCTCCAACACCCCACTCCCTCCTAGCAGTGATGATGTTCCCCAGCTGGGCCATGAAACGTCTGCAAGAAAACCACCAAGCTCAGAGAGCACCAAGGACCCCCACAGTCCTCCTTCTCCTCCTCCCTTCTCCTCTTATTCTCCTCCTCCTCCTATTCTCCTCCTCCTCCTCCTCCTCCCTTCTAACACTGATGATGTTCCCTAGTTGGGTCATGAAACGTCTGCAAGAAAACCACCAAGCTCAGAGAGCACCAAGGACCTCACAGTCCTCCTTCTCCTCCTCTCCTTTCTTTCTCTTTCCTTCCTCCTCCTCCTCTTCTCCACAAACTCCATCCCCTCCTAACACTGATGGTGTTCCCCAGTCGGGTCAGGAAACGTCTGCAAGAAAACTGCCAAGTTCCGAGAGCACCGAAGACCCCCACAGTCCTCCTCCTCCCCCCTACTCTCCACAATCCTCCCTCTTTTCTAGCACTGATGATGTTCCCCAGTGGAGTCAGGAAACGTCTGCAAGAAATCCAGGAAGGACCCCAGTTCGACCCTGAGCTACAAATACTCTCTTCCGAGAGCCGAGGTGGCGCAGTGGTTAAATGCAGCACTGCAGGCCACTTCAGCTGACTGTTATCTGCAGTTCGGCTGTTCAAATCTCACCGGCTCAAG